ATCCGACAATCTTGGAACAATGAATCTATAGGACTTTGAGGACTCTCTATATATTTCTAATTTAGAATGCCTATGCTTGGTTCCAAGAAGTTCGGATGACACAGATAGTTCTCTTGACATGAACTGGAATACGATAAAACGCACCGTCACTTGGTCGAATACAAATTAGCCTATATTATTGAATATCGATGTGTTTTACACTGCCTTGGTTCGCAAAAAGCCGGGTTTTACCTTATTCAAAATTGTAAGTTTAGGATTTATCACATCTGTTTGTCAAGCACTATCGTGCGTAGTTATTATGCTGCATTGCCAACACAGTACACATGCGAGAAACTTGGCGATAACCCGCTCAATTGTCTGGTCAAGCGAGACCGATCATTATTGGAGCGGTTTGCGGCAACCACCAACAACCATAAGTGATGGCAGGGCAAATGAAGAAGAAGCATGCTGAGTTTGCTTAATGAAAGAGAGAGGCTATGGCAAATGTGTTCAAGGCACGGTATTGGAAGTCAGGGGGAGAGTTAGGAAATGGCGATTGGGAGAAAATAATGGGGGGGGGGGGGGGGGGGAGGGAGAGGGGGAACGTATTCTTGAGAAGTATCAAGAAATATTTCAACAAGAGGGAAGACTCACGCAACGAGCCACAATCTTCAAACTTGAGCAGGGTCAACTTTAGTCAAATCCCTTTTCTGGCTTTAGGACACGAGTTTTGCCTCTTGTCTAAGCGTTAAATGATCATTTTAGGGTTGTCTTAAAAATCAGACAAAATTTGTACCCCTGTCTTCTCTAAACTTAAAGTGTTCATAGGTGCATGGAAAAAAAAAAAGAATAATAATCATAGATCAGCGCGGGTCCTATCTCGGACGCATTCTTTGGGTACTAATGCACTTGCACAAGTCTGCCATCTGCTGGCAGGAAGATGCTAAGGTTCGCGGTATCAGTAGATCTGCACTGTGAGATCTCCGATTGATTCTTGGAAGGTTAATAGGCGGGTATGCCTGGGGAGTTATGGGCGCACGGACTCGCTACACAAACAAGCCTCTTTATCCCAATGGTCTAGCGACTGGGATTCTGACATGGTATCAGAGCGGTCTCGAGTTCGACCCCCGGTGTATGAACATGCATGCGGTAGCCGTTGTGCTCAGTCCTGGGCCTCCCAATATGGGGGGGTGTTAGTAGATCTGCACTGTGAGATCCCTGATTGATCCTTGGGAGGGTTATAGGCGGGTATGCCAGAGGGGTTATGAGCACATGGACCCGCTACCAGGGCTGACGTTTCAAATTTAGGTACACTGATGTCCACATAAAAAAAAAAAAACAAAACAAAAGCTCTGAAAGCATATTTTCCAGAAAAAAAGCACCCTAATTGCTCACTGTTGGGAGGTTATAAAGCCTGATTGTTCAGGGTCGCGAGATCAGGATCGGAGTAGTAATGTGCTGTGCATTATCGAAATTGAACCTATCATTATGTTGTGCTCTGACTTCGTGAACCTGCCGTATCAGTGCGAATATGTCGTGCTCTGAAGTCGCGAATCTGTGGTGTCAGGACGTTTTTTCTGTGATTGGACGAATGTGTTGTGCTCTGACGTCGCAAATCTGCTGCATCAGGGAAAATTTGCAATGACTGGGCGAATATTTTGTGGTCTGACGGGGCAAATATATTTTGTGGTCTGACGGGGCGAATAGAGTGTTGGCCCTACCCTCGTTTAGGCAACGCCGACGACTTGGTCGGATGTATGGGAGAAGCAGCCGACCGTTCATAGTGAGGGAGCTGCTTGACGGGCTTCGTGGAGTTGCAGGGATCATTGTGGTGTTGCCGTTGACCAGGAGTGCTCGACGGTTGCAGCTGACTGGGCTGGTCGACGGGTGGGCTGTCGACTAGGAGGAGTTGTTTGACAAGGAGGTCGACGGAGCAGTCCGTCGACCTGACATGAGAGCAGCAGTCGACGAGGGGAGCTCGGCGACAGCAGCTGCAGTGCTGGTCGATAGAGGGGTCCGTCGACCATAATGTTGCTCGACGAGAGCTGTGGTCGACGAGGGAGTCGTCGACCAGAGCACTGGGTGGTCGACGAGTACGTACAACTTCTAGTCGACTTTCACCCGAACAAGTCGACACTGACCTGGTGATGTCCAGGTCGACCGAGTAACCTGTTCGACGAGTTTTGCGGAGGCACGCGAACGTCGTCGAGGTCGCAGTGACGAAGGCGACTTTGGGCTGGTATCTTGAAGTCGAAGTGACTCGTCAGGCGCAGACAATAGCCGAGGGATGCACAGCAATGCAAGTCGGGCCAATCGTTAGCGCGCACCTGCAAGCGTGCGCACTGCTGTCTTCTATGGGGGCAATGCTGGACAGCCGTTCTGCTACAGCGTTGGCACGCCGTCGACCTGCTCTGCTGGCAGGTCGCCCTTATACAGTGCTGGCGCGGCTCCTCTATGCAACGATGGCAGGCGGTCGACCAAGCTGTGGTGACGGTCGACCAGGCTAGCTGCAAAGCTGCTAGGTGCCTAATGTAGTCATTTCTGTCATTGCTCGTTTAATCATTTTGGTAATGCAATCTTTGCCTAATGAAACTCTTGCCGATTTCTCCCGTGAACGTGCAAGCGCTAAGGAACTGAGCAAAGTTATGATCACTCCTAGTAGTTCGTGTCAACCCCCCCGTAGTCTAGTGTCAGAACATTATAGCTTACTTATTTGTGTAGGCTATAGTGGGGTATCTCATAGGGGGTACAACCCAGCTAGGGTTTCCTATTTGTACTCACTTCGTTCATAGTTCACACATTCTCTCGTTCACTTCTTCTCATCTAGCTCACTACTTTGTTGAGTGACTCTCCGCAGAATCTGCCGTGTCAGGGCAAAGTTGCTGAGACCAGTGAAGACCGAATCACAGCAGCGCGGACTATGATACGGTCAACACTAGTTCGAAACGAAATGTCGAAGAAATATCGTCCTAGCTTTTTTCTGGGCTTTTTTCCACTCGTCTCTTACACCAACAATCGAAATTGGAGCAGTTTGGGCACATGGGGGGTACTCATACTAAGTTTAAAGGAAACTTTGCCCTAATAATGTCTCATTCGGGGTCCGCAAGACTCGTACTCTGTAATGATAGGGACTGTAAAAATACTACTCTAAGAGTGTGTACAGGAATTCAGGGTCTCCTAAAGTATTACTCTGAATGGATTTGTAACAAAAACTCATTAATTCTGAAATTTCAGTCTCCACAATGTGACATGTTTAAAATCACCCTGAAAGGGTAATTACCCTAAAAAAACAGCCCTGCCCGCTACACAAACAAGCCATTTTATCCTAGTGGTTGAGTGACTGGGATTCTGACTCGTAGTTCAACACTCGCACCTCAGGACGGCCACCTTGGCAACTTCCTGGCGCTGGAAGGAAGATGCCAAAGGTCGAATCAAGATTGATTGTGTCGCGCAACCTCAGATTTTTCTGCCATTTGATTGAATCAATTGCAGAAAAATCTCAGGTGGCGCGAATCCTCAGGAATTATGGGCAACAGGCCAGGCGGGAATAGTTGCCGGTTTGAGACGAAGAAGAAACTCGCTGTCTGTAGTGTCAGACAACTGTAAAATCAGATGAATATAAAGAGCTTGTCTTATGATTCAGATCAAATAGGACACCATGTCTACAGGTCCAGACGAACCATAAAAAACGAGTCTGAAGTTCAGACAATCAGACAAGAAATTTCTGATAACGAAGACCCTGTACTTGAGTGTTCGAAAAACGCATAGAAGGCGGCCTGCCAACGCTGCAGTAAGGCGGATTGCTAGCACTGTAGATGTGGGTGTCAAATCAAAGCCGTTCTAAACTCGGAGGTATGGGTGCCGAAACACTAGGAACGGATTTGTGAGTGGGTTTCCTAATTCCTGCAAAGGACACGATTATCCCTGCAAAATTCCACTAAAACATTTCTATGTACATGGATCAGAACTCTGAGAAACAGGGGTGCACCACCCCCTTGGAGAGAGATAAATAAGCAGAGAAGAGTTAATATCAGGGTTCACACTTCCCGGCCTTGATCTTCACTTGGTCCGGAATGCACACTCTGGTCGACTTGATGAGCTTATCGATGCAATCGTAGCCGTTGGTCTTCCTGTAGCACCCTTTGATTCCACGGAAGTACTTGACCTGCAGGCCAGTGCAGCGGTCGCCAGTCCCAACCACGTATGCACGAGTCTTGGGGCACACTCCTTGCATGAAGCTGAACGAGCTGCCTATGCACGCCTGCACTTGCCGTGCAGTCAAGCGTGCGTGGGGAGGAAGGGGGAGAAGGGCGAAAGTCAGCAAAGGGGAAAAGATGCAAGGTAAAATGGTGGTAAGATAGGTCCTGGGGTAGGTAGATAGGTAGACAGGAAGGATGCTGAGTAGATTGGTTGATAGGAAGGATGGTAGGTAGATAGGAGGCTAGCTAGATAGATAGGAGAGTAGGTAGGTAGGTGGGCAGGTAGGTAGTTGAGTATCTGAAACGAAATTCATGGTGGTGGGTGTGTGCCTGCTGGGTGAGAGGCGGCGGGCAGTGCAGCACAGACGGCTCTAGTGATCTTGAGGTGCGGATTCGAGTTGCAGAGGGGAGATATGGAATGAAGGTGTTGAGGTGTAGAGGGGAGGGGTGGAGACGAGAACCAAGCAACAGCTAGGCAAGGCAACAACGGATGCCATTGCGTCTATGAACGAGCTGCCTATGCACGCCTGCACTTGTCAAGTGTGCGTGGGGAGGAGGGAGAGGGTGGGGGGAGGGGGGAAGTGGGGGTAAGAGTGAAAAGGACGAGAACGGCATGGATGTGGTAAGGTAGGTAGGTAGGTAGGTAGGTAGGTAGGTAGGTAGGTAGATAGGTAGGTAGGTAGGTAGGTAGGTAGGTAGTTAGGTAGGTAAGCAGGTAGGTAGGTCGGTAGTGAAATAGATAAGTAGCTGCAAAGATATTTATCCACAAAAAAGCAGCGGGCCAGGCGAGAAAGGACTTGTAAAGCATTCCTGAGTGTGAACCTATGTGGGAATCCAAGAACATAGGGAAGGTGGGAATCCAAGTGCATGGGGAAGGTGGGAATCCAAGTGCATGGGGAAGGTCTGGTAGGACTGTGGAAAGGAGAGGCAGGAGGAAAGAGGGTTGTGTGAGGGAAGGGTGAAGTGGAGAGCAGAGGGGGACCTCGAAGCCTGTGAGGCTGCCGACGTCAGTCTTGGGCACGAGGCGGCTGCACTTGATGCCGGGGTTGAGGCGGAAGAACTCGAGAGGGGAGAGTGGTGGGGAGGGCACGGAGCGGATCTGGTCGCACGTCTCCCCGGCCTGCACCAGATAGAACTGCGAGCACACCGGGATGAGCAGCGCCGCTGCACTCTCCGCCCGCCGCTCCACACACACCGCCTGGCTACCCACCAGCTCCCCGCTGCCGGAGCAGTCCAGCCCGGGGTTGAGCGCCTGGAAGGCTGCTGCGCAGGGCTCGGTGGGAGTTGGGCAGCCGGCGGTGAGAGAGAAGTAGGTGGCTAGGGACTCGCATGTGTCGCCCTGGTGGGATGGGAGGGAGGGGGGGACGACAAGAGGGAGGGACCAAGGGGGATGATGAGAGGAGATGAGAGGGTGGGGGACAGGGGGGGGGGGAGGGGGAAGGGGGCAGGGGAGAGAAATAAATGCTGAAACAAAGAAGGGAAGAACGAGGAGGGCTCAAAGCAGTTGCCGATGAGGGAGAAGTATTTTGCTAGCGAATCGCATGTGTCACTCCGGGGGGATGGGAGCGAGGAGGGAGAGAGTGGGGGAAATGGGGAAGGAGAGTGGATGATGGGAGAGAAGGATGAAAGGAGACGTGGAAAGGCAGTCCTGGGAGAAGGGCGGCTGGGCAGGGCTAGGGGGCCGCGTTGGGCTCTGGGATCATGGGCAGGGCAGCCGGTGGAGAGAGATATGTAGACTGAGAGGTGGGGGCGGAGAGAAGCGAGAGGAGCGAGAGGAGGGAGAGAGGGGAGAGGAGGGAGAGTAGGGAGAGGAGAGTGAGGAGGGGTAGAAGTGAGAGGAGGGAGAAAGAGAGGGCGCGGACCTCTGATGTGGTGTAGTAGACAGAGCAGGGCGTGAGGTCGGCTGGCTGGACCACGTTCACCACCGTGCCGACAAGAAGAGGAGTGCTGCAGCTCAAACCCTGGAGGGGAAAAAGGGAGGGGAGTGGGGAAGGGAGGGGCTGAGACGATGGGAGAGGGGATGGCAGAGGAAAGATGTGGTTGTTGGGTGGGGATCAGACGAGCAGAATGTGGGCAGAGCCTCACGGGAATGAGAAGAGCAAGCAGCAGGAAGGCATGGGCCCACCACGATGCTCACAGGATTTTGCTGTTGCAGCTGGGCGAGAGTGAGGCCGTAGACGGGGTGGATGTCGGCACACGTGACACCCAACGACACCACCTTGTATGTGCTGCTGGAGTCGCCTGCGCAGTGCGGTCCAGAGTGGTGCAGATGGATATAGCAAATGGGAGTGGTGCGTGCGGATAGAATGGAGCAGGTGGGATTAGGCATGCGGGAGTGATTTGGGACTAATTGGAGAGGAGTGCAATATGCATCACACAAGAAGGTTACCTGGACCACAGGAGAAGGTGCCATCAACAGTGGTGCCCTGCCTGAAGCCAGGAGGGCACACACACGAGTACGACCCCTTGCCATCATTCACACACGTGCCCACTGCACATGGATTGTGCACCGCTGCCCTGCATGCGTCCTCTGGGGAACACGACAAAGGATGAAAGACACAGGCAAGACGAGCATGCTATGAGGTGGCTAAAAGAAGGATGGTGAACAATTAAAGCATTGAGTTGTGGTGCCGATAGCACCATTGCAGAAATTGATAGGATGGAAATGTTGTCAGCACGGTTGTGATGTGACTGCATGGAGACAGGCGAGAGTGCTCACTGTAAGCTCAGGTGCATTGGCATGGTGGTTACCATGACCAGTGCACTGATTTCTGAGGCACCTTCGAACTCACAGGATGGATAAAGGAGAGAGTGCTCACCGTAAGCACAGGTGCGAGAGTTGTCCGGTTGAAGCGCCTCGACGAATCGCGGGTCGTTGCAGTCGCAGTGGTTGCTGGCCCCATCAGGCGTGGGCGTGCACGTGAAGTTGCCACAGGGGTTGAAGAGCGGCCCAAACACCCCACTGGTGGTGCCGTTGACGTTGCAGGGGTCCTTGGCAGCGCGCACCACCGGGTAGATCCCAGGCAGCGTGTTGATCCCACACACGCCGTCGCCCCCCTGGATGTCCATCCGCATGTGCCCGCCGTCGCCCCACTCCGGGCCCCATGAGTTGCGGATGATCCAGAAGGGCGGCGCCATGTGCGGGAAGGTGGGGTCTGAGCCGGAGAGGCGATAGCCCACCAGCAGCACCACGTGGTTCAGGTTGTACGTGAAGCACTCTGGGTCCGCGTACTTGGATAGCTGGGTGGGGAGGAGATGGAGGGAATTTGGGGGCGCATGGGTATGGAATGAGTTGTTAGAAACTTTTCACATGCAGCACGACTTTATTAAGGTTGTGGGAGAAGCACAACAGGTCTGGGTGTGTAAATGAGTGAGTGAGAGCATGTGTGTGTGAGTACGCGTGCGCAAGTGGGAGTGCGAGTGTGTGTGTGTGTGCGTGCGTGCGCGCGTGTGTGTGTGTGTGTGCGTGCGTGCGCGCGTGTGTGTGTGTCGGGGGGCAGGTGGGTGCACTCACCCCATCATAGTCGAGAAAGGAGGGGACGGTGGCCTGCACATGCACCACCACGGGCTGTCGCTGCACGGCCAGCAGCAGCCCAAACCAGCCGTGGAATGCCGTGCGCTCAAAACCATTCACCCTGAACGCCCCCCCCGATGGCTTGCTCTGCCGTGGGGACAGGGGAGGAGAAGTAGGGGAGGAGAAGTACGGAAGGAGGTGTAGGTGAGGAGGGAAACGGGAGGAGGGATAGGGGAGCAAGGATATGGGAGGGGACTTGTGGTAGGTGGGGTAGGGGAGAGGACTGGACCACATGAAACGGGGGCAGTGCAACGCAACAGAAGCCATGCATGGACTGCGTCAGAACGCATATCACGACAATGGGATGGACAAGAAAAGTACTCAATGAGTTTGAAGAACCTGACACTGGAACTGCCAACTGATGTGGGAGAAAAGGTTCAGCTGGAAAATCAACCACATGAACCCAAGCGCATGTTTCGGCCCTCCTAATGGAAAAATTGGATGTTTCGGTTCAAGAAGAAAAGGGCGTAGAAAGCGCAGCCACATTAGGCTGATTTTAAGATCCAAAAAAACAAAACATCAAAAAAAAAAAAAACCAAAAAAAAAAAAAAAAAAAAAAAAAAACGGAAGGAAGTGTTGTTTACAGGTCCGGGGGTCCGGCCTTTGCCGCAGGGGATCCCAAGCGCTTGTGCGAGCAGAGCAAGGATGGGCATGCTACAGAGAGGGCTCTGGCTGCTGCTCTTCGTGGCCCCGCCCCCGCTCACCACCACCCCGGTCCCGCCGTCCTCCGTGAGCCCCACTTTGCTCTTGGCGTTGAGAGTGACGAGGTACTGGAAGGCCTGGGAGGGCGAGTTGCCCTGCGAGCATGAGGCGCCGAGGGCGCTGCGCAGCTGGGTGACGGAGAGGTGTGGCACAACGGTGAGGTTGGAGAGAATGCCGTATGCCATTTCTATGCTGCCCACCACCGCGTACGCCCAGCAGTCGCCTGAGAGAGGAGGGGGGGAGAAATGGAATGATGGGAGAGGTTGGGCATGTGAAGCTAAAGTGGATGTGTATGCTGCCCACGACTGTGTATGCGTAGCAGCTACATGGCATGGGAGACATGGAGAATCAAGAGGGAAGTGGGAGAGGAAGGGGAAAGCGGAAAGGGGAGAATGGGCATGGCAGGAGGGGAGAAGGCACACCAGCCACAAATGCCACACATCCCTCTTCTTACCAGAAAGCAACTTAACAGTGTATGCCCTCTCATTCATTTGCGCCCCCTTACCCAACCAAGTAAGAAACAGAGCCACGGTATCCCATCACATCCCATCCCATCCCATCCCATCCCATCCCATCCCATCCCATCCCATCCCATCCCATCCCATCCCATCCCATCCCAACCCATCCCATCCCATCTTATCCCATGCCATCCCATCCCATCAGATCCCATCCAATCCCATACCATCCCAGCCCATCCCCTCCACTTCCGTTTCCTCCCCTCCCACCCCATCCCTTTTCTTCCCACCCCCACCCCCATGCCCTCACCGCAGGCGCCCTGGTTCTGGACGGGCCATGAAAGCCCCTGGTCGGTCCAGGAGAACGCCTGGCTCACAACCCACACCTCCTCCTCCTTGCCGCTTCCCCCTTCCCCTCCTTCTCCGCCTGCTGGCAGCACTGCCTGCACGCCCGCACTGGCGTAGCGGAAAAACAGGTTCGCCCCCACTGGTGCCAGCGATGCCTCGCTGAACTGGAACCCAAACTGCTGGCCTGAGAGGGGGAGTCGACAAGGGAGGGCACGGTTGGTTGGGGTAGGGTAGGGCAGGGTAGGGTAGGATGGGGTTAGGTAGGGGGAATGAAAGATGGATGGGGAGTGGGAAGGAAGTTAATGGGTCAAGTGGCAGTGAGTGTGATGGGGAGGATTCTGGGGCAGATGAGAGGAGGTGTTGAATGATGATTGGGAGGCAGACTCTGGGAGGGATGAGGGTGAGACCCAGAGAGAATATTGAGGGGAGGAGTTGAGGGAGGTTTGGGGAGGAGGAAGGGGGGAAGAAAAGAAAAAACGAAGGGTGGCAAGAATATAGAGACGAGACCCAAGCAACAGAAACAGACACAGGTGCGAACTCAAGCCAATTCAAGTCAGTCATACCTGTAAGGGTGGTTGATTCGGGAAGGCCTAGACATACAAGGGGAGATGGGAGCAGACAGCGAGATGTATTAGAAAATGTAACAAGCAAAGAGAATGTAGCACATATACATGTGAACTGCGGTAGGGTGTGGTTTAGGGGCGAGGTTGAAGGGGCCTTTTAGGCAAGTCAAGGTGGGAGAGTGAGTAAAGGATGGAGTGGGATGATACAGATGGAGGAGGGGGATGACAGCAGCTGTGCGGGAACAAGTGCAGAGCGCACGGCAATAGGCGGGAAGCAAGGAGCAGAAGGAAACAGCAATGAGAATGGAGCAGAGGAGAACGGAGGGGGGGCAGCAGGAAGCAACAGGGAGCAACAGAACCTACCTGTCGTGATGTTCCACTCGAGTATGGAATGGAGCTGTGGGGAATCAGAGGAGGAAGCAGTGAAGCCCATGAGGAACGACGCTTCGGCTGCAGTGGGTTGCAGGAACTCGCACAGCGACACCTGCATCACCACCACTGCCTTGCTCGGCCGGGGGGACCCCTTGGCCGACAGAAACACCCGCAGCCACCCCGCGCCGCCGCCGCTGCTGTTGCTGCTGCCATAGGTAGCGCTGCCACTAGCAGCACCGCCAGAGGAGGAAGGAGAGGGTTCGTAGACGATCCAGGCTTGCTTTGGCCTGCCGTCGTTGAGAGTGAAGGGCGCTTTGGCAGTTGCGATGGAAGAGGTGTTGCCCCTCACACTCACTCCCACGTGGTTGTTGTCTGGGTCATTGGCGTCGGTGCTCTTAGCAGTATCAAACTCCACTGCAATGCTGCGCTCATCCATACCTGCATACCCCAAGCTTCCGCCCCCACCACTGCCGTCGCCGCTGCCACTACTACCACCTGTAGCAGCGTCAGTGGCTGCAATCACAAACGCAAATCCGTCGCCTGCGTCTCCTGCTGCTGTCATTGCTGCCCTGCTGGCGGTGGCCGGTTTGAGAATGGAGAAGGAGAAATAGACGGTGAAGGCCAAAGGGCGGCCGCAGGCACCGGCTTTCAGGGAGAAGGAGAAGAGTGGGATGGGCAGTTGGAGGAACGCTGCACCCCACGTGTTGGGCTGTGAGGCTGTAAGCGAGATGCTCCCGTCGTTTGCCACTGCCGCCCCTCCCTTCACTTCTGTCTGTGCTGCTGTTGGCTGCACGATCACTGGGTCCTCACCTGCCGATGAGGGAGAGGGCGTGGGTTGGTCAGCAAGGGGAGAGGGAAAGGCTCTGAGGAGGTGTATCGACAGGACGGCATGACAAATAATAGTTTTTGAGGCGCCCAAGAACAAGCACTTTGAATGCCCTGAGGCACACCCACAAGCCACTGCCAACCTTGTGAATCGATTGACTTTTGACTTTTGAGTCAACTCAGAAGTCACCTCAGCTCAGAACGCAGCGCTTTGGGAGCCCTGAGACACACCCACAAGCCAACCTTGTGAATCTAGTCCTGAGCAGGAAGGTTCGAGCCCAAAACCATGTCGCAGCTTTCCCACAGCACAGCACGCTCTGTCAGAATGCTATTCCTCTTGTATCCCGCATGTGCCCTTTATTAGCTTGGGTAGAATAGCCACCATACTTAGTTTGGGCGCACCACCAGGGTTTACCCTAGTTGGGGGTTTGGAACCTGGACAACCATTTGGTCCCTAAGGTTGGGTTGGAGATTATTGGACCCACAATAAGTCTCAGCTTTGACCATGATTCCTTAACCTAGTTCTCCAACCCAAATTACTGTTTGGAGCCAAAAGAATCGGTCAAGAACCCAACTATCTCCACATTACTCCCACTCATATGTATAGCTCGAGACCTTTTCATCCAACTGTATTTCTCTCTTCAAACTCCATATAAACACACACACACACACAAACCACCCACACAGCCCGAACAGCCCACACCATCCTCATTCGCCTCTTTATTATCCATATCGCCCACCCTCCCCCACCCCCACTCACTGCCTTCGACGACGCAGGTTCCAGGAGACTCCCCATTGACAAACCCGGACTCGCAGTCACACGTGGGCACTCTGCTGGGGCCCTCCAGATAGCACACGCCATGGCCGTCGCACGGGGGATCAGTAGCACTCACGCCACAAAAGGCAGCACAGAGCTCTTCTGGCCGCTGCACCGCTGCATCCGCAGCAGAGGGCGTGGCAGGCGTGGGGCAGGAGAAGCCTTGGCCAGGGGTTTCAAGGCAGTTGAAGCGGAAGGAGATGGAGCCTTGGTAGCAATCAGGTGGGGAGGAGAAGCCTGAGGAGAAGTAGTTGAGGTCGAGATTGTAGACGGTGACTGATGATGGGATGGGCTGCAGTACGGGGCCTGTCAGCTGGTTGTTGCGCAGGTTGCTGTGAGGGGGGTGGGGGGGGGGGGGGGGGGGAAGAGGGGGGTAAGGACGAAAGAAGACGTATGAGATGGTTACTGGCTCTTTGGGAGGAGGGGGGAGGGCAGGCAGGCAGGGGATGTGGAAACGGAGAAAAGGGAAGGGGAGGTTGAGTGGGAAGAGCATCAAATGTGATGCAGGCATTGAGGGCTAGGGCTAAAGAATGGGGATGCAAGGAGGCCAGTGGGGGATGGACATACAGGAGGGTGAGACGGACAAGGCCTGTGAGAAGAGTGGGGACGGTTCCATGCAGACGGTTGTTGCTCAGGTCACTGTAGGGGGAGAGAGAGGGGAGCGGAGAGAGGAGAGAGGTCAGGTTGGAGGGACAACATGAAAGGGAAAGGATGGGAGGGAAATCAGGAGAAAGGGAAAGAGGCATTCATGTGCTCCGTCCTACTGCTCGTTATGAGTGTGGTGCTTCTCTCCGTCCTAACATGGTATCAAAGCAACGTGGGGTTCACGCCTTGGTACACGCCATCTGGTTTGGCCATCTTGTTCAAAGACCGAAACAGACAGTTGGTGCACTGCACACCAGTTCAAGTCTGGGTGTGCACGGGCACATGGATGTCCGTGACAACCTAGGTGACTTGTGAGTCGACTCAAAAGTCACCTATTTTCGGTGTGCACAGCCACACGGATTTGTGAACAACCAGAACCAACAGCAACATGTTTCGTCCTGGGGGGTATGGTTGGTTGAGTTGAACAACCAAAACCAACATATTCGCTACTGAACCCATCTGTCACTACTGGTTCTAGCACTTGCCGCCCTTAATGTATCCCCACTTCTGTGGTGTCTCGACTATTTTTTCTTCGACTGGATGTCAAGGAAATTATTGATCTTGGCTAACTACACTTATTTCCAACTTAATCAATGCAGATCAAGCATTCATAAGCGCCCGCAGCACAAACTACTCACAAGATATTCTGTGCTGTTTATGCAAGTGTGTGTATACTGTGTATGTATGTAGCATGAGGTGCGCATAATGCACACATGGCTTAGTTGGGCAGATCAAATCACACACAGTGCTTAGCTGGGCGCATGCAGGACGAAAACTCATACAGCATAGCTGTGCGAAAAGGGTGGACGACTCACATGGCCTCCATTTTTAACAGTCCTCCGAGAAGAGTGGGCAGGGTGCCGCTAATCTGGTTGCAGCAGAGGTTGCTGCCCGGTGCAGAGATAGTGAGTGAGTAAGGTGCAGACATGGGGGATTTGGGCAACGGGAGGGAGGATGGGAAAGGGGAGTAGGTAGGGTAAGGGTCGGTCCGATGGGCAGGGAAGAAGAGGGGTCATTGATTGGAATGAATAACGTCCAACACATTCTTAAGAAAAAAATAAAGCACACACACACACACACACACACAAACACACACAACCGAAACGGAAATAGGGTGTGAGAAAGGCACAGGGGAAGCAAGGTGGGGGTGGGAGGGGGCGGGGAGGACTAGGTGACTGGGAAGGGGTGTGGGGGGTCAAAGAATTTAGATGTTAAGTGATCAAGGGAATGCGACGAGATGAGGGGTGTTGAACAGAAAGGAAGCACAGGACTTGGAATTGGGGATTAAGGGGGAGGAAAAAGGGTACAAGGTGAGAAAGAGAACGTTGAAGTGAGGAGACAGAAGGGGAGGGAGTGAGGTTGGAAGATAAGGGTAGCAAGGGGAGAAGGAGAGAGGCACTGACAGAGCTTCGAGGTTGTTAAGATTGGAGTACTCAACGGGTATGGATCCGGTCAATCCGTTGCCACTTAGATTGCTGCCGTGAATGCGGTGGCAGCCAAAAAGGAAGGGGAGGGAGGGGGGACGGTAGGGGGGACAGAGGGGAAGGGAAGGGGGAAATGAGGGAGGTGAAATCAAGAGGCAGTGGAAGAGAGAAAGTGGAACAAAGAATCGCCTGTGACAATAGGGAGACTAAGAGGGTGACGAGCACCTTCCTAGTGCAGCTGCAAGGGGCTTCTTCAATGCTCACCTGCGCCTGCTGTGGCTCACCTTTAGGAATCCCTCGTGCCGAGAAAGCAACCTGCTGTGATCTGTGAACTATTCTTGAACCCCTCACGGACCCCCCTTAGCATAGGAAAGTAGCAGAGGACAATACACAGGGAAGCTAAGTGAAGCCTTGATGTGGCTCAACTCTGTACACAGGTCTTGAGTTGTGCATGCTATGCTACATGCAGGGACCACTTGAGAGGGAACCGTCCCTGTAACATAAAGGCATGCTACATGTAGAGGAGCTCTCTGTACACAGGTCTCGAGTTGTACATGCTACATGCTACATGCCTAGGAGCTCTCTGCCGTGCCCCTCTCAGAGTCCCAGAAGCGGAGGGAAGTGAGGGCAGGAGAGGTCAGTGGTAGAGTCCCTATCTATCAGGGCAGCACTCACAGGGCCTTAAGGTCCGTCATGCCGCCGATGCTGGTTGGAAGAGGGCCGGTCAGGTCGTTGTGGCTCAAATCGCTGGGGGTGAAGGCAGAGAGGGGTGGATTGGGTTGTATGGGGTTGAGAGTTGGGTGAAAGGAAAACAATGAATTGAAAAAAAAAAAAAATGGAAGACGGTGGGTTGTTTGTTTGGACTTGCCATGCCATGGCATAACATGATATGTGGCAGCAGATGCCATGGAAGCATAGGAGCAGGAGCAGTGAGTGGGCGTACCAAGGCTGTGACGTGACCTCTGCAGGCATGGTTCCCTTCTGAGAATTGTCAAAAGAGAATTGTCAAAAGAGAATTCTCAAAAGAGAATTCTCAAAAGTGATTTCAACGTACAGGTTGGTGATGGCATCCAAGGCTGTGATCTCTGTAGGCATGGCCCCCGCTAGCTGGTTGTAGCTCAGGTCCCTGCCTTGCACATGCAGAGCAGGCAAGGGAGAGGGGGAAAGGGAGAGGGGTGGAAGGGACGTGGAAGTGTTAAAGAGGAGGGAGTGGGACGGAGAGGTAGGGGGATCAAGAGCACGTGGGGGGTTGTACATGCAGATGTGTGTGGTTAAACACACGAGCACATGGGGGCATGCACATGAGCATGTGAACACATGAGCACATGGGGGCATGCATACGCATACGACGACTTCTACAGGTCGCTTGCTTGCTTGCTTGTTCATGTGTGGTCGGTTGGTTGGTTGTGCGGAATGCAAGTGGTGAGATGGATAGAGGCAGGCAGGATAGAGGCAGGCAGGATAGCGGCAGGCAGGATAGAGGCAGGCAGGAGGATGGAAGCATTGGGATCCTTACAGCTTCTGCAGGTTGCCAATCTGTGCAATTACGTTTGCTGGAACGGAACCCGTGAAAGCATTGCTGGACAGAGATCTGGCGAGAGAAGCGGAGAGAGAGAGGGACGGAGAGACAGAGAAAGAGATAGACAGGGAGACACAGAGACAGGGAACAGAAAAACAGGGAGACAGAGAGACAGAGACAGAGAGATGAAGAGGCAAGGCAGAGAGAAGAGGCAACGGAACGAGGGACAGCAGGTTCGTGACATGGAGGGGACGTGAGATGAGGCAGGATGCATCAAGACGCAAACACTTCTGTTCGGCAAGAGACACGTTGCTAAGAATGCTCTCGGTGTGAAACTGATTGCACACAGCAGGGAAGACTATAGTAGCGAGTACTTTCCCACCATAGGGACACATGATGAGAGGGAGGATGCTTGGAGTGCAGGGAGGGGAGAGCATGTGAGGGAGAGAGCAGGGCAGCGAAGGGAGTGCAGCGAAGGGAGTGCAGTGAAGGGAGTGCAGTGAAGGAAGAGCATACAGCGCCTTCAGGGCCGTGAGAGTGCTGATGGTTGAAACAAGCGTGCCTGACAGACGGTTGAAACCCAGGTCTCTGTGGAAGAAATGGAGAACAAGGGATGGTGTGTGGGAGGGGGCGAGGAGAGGGTGATATTGGAGGGGAAGAGGACGAAATGGAGAAGAGGAGTTGGTATGTGGGAAGGGGGGAGGATGGATGGGGTGTTGGGTCAGGGGGGTTGGCTGTTCGAGTCTTTGAGGGTGGAACCTTGAAGTATTAGTAGAACCTTGAAGTATTAGTATGGGAGAGGGGCGTGTGTAGCAGCTGTATACTCGTCAGAGCACAAGAGGACATGAGGACATGCGGGCATGAACACATGAGGACACGAGGAAACTGATCATAATGACGAAAGCGCGAATAGGTCACAAGATAAGCAGGGACGGGTAGTTAGTGGTGTAACTAACAGGCTGGTGAGTTTGGTGAGGAGGGAGAGGGAGGAGGGCATGGATCCAGACAGCTGGTTGTGACTCAAGTCCCTGTGGCACAGCAGTCAGGGTATGGTGTGGAGTGGAGAGATATGGTGTGATGGTGTGGTGTGGTGTGGTGTGGTGTGGTGTGGTGTGGAGGAGTGGTGTGGTGTGGTGTGGTGTGGCATGGGATAGTATGGCATGGTAGCAGAAATGGACCTCAAGCATGCAGAGGAATCAAAGCGGGAATGGAGAGGAATCAGAGTGGAATCAAAAGAGGGAGCAGACAGAATTCAAAAACAAAATCTCAGGAGAGTCAAAGAGAATCCGAAGAGGATTCAAAGAGGTTCTAAAGAGGCTTTAAAGAAGGTCCGCCCCACACACTCACAGGTGGGGCGTGTTGGTTAGGGCAGCGATAAGCGGCTCTGGGATGGAGCCTGAGAGGATGTTGGACGACAGGGCCCTGAAAGGGGAGGGATACAGTGCGGTGGTGAGGGGTGAGAGCGGTAAGGTGGGGATGGCAATGGTTTGGAGTGGTGTGGGATGGGTTGAGATGAGCTGCAGAGTGATAGACTGGAAAGGGTGTGGTGGAGTGAGATGCAATGCAATGGAGTGGGATGTAGCCAAAGACACTAGCTACCTTACCCCGCACACTGATAGGGTGGAGAGCTGCTGACAGGGCGCAACACACGCTACCTCGTAGCATACGGACAGGGCGGAGAGGCATTGAGATAGCACAACACACGCTACTGCGTGGTACTGACAGGGTGGAGAGCTTCGAGAGGCGGCTGTAGCCCAAAGGCAGCGATCCTGTGAATATGTTGCTGCTGAGGTCGCTGGGGATTGGGAAATGGGGGGAGTGAGGGGAGAGGAGAGAAACGGGAGAGGGGAGAACAGGGAAATGGGGCAGAGGGGAGAGAGGAGGGAGAGGGGGGCGAGGGGGGATCGTTGGAGAAGGGAGAGAGGAAAGATAGAAGGGTTGATTGATGATTGAGAATGGACGGACCACCACCCCGCTGCTTTTGCCGTTGATCATACAATTGACCGAAACATAGAAATGAATCTTCAAAACTACAAACGCAAAGGCTAGGGCATTTGGATTGAGAAGGGAGAGGGGGGAGTGAGGGGGGTTCTGTCTGTGAGTCAGCTGGAAAGGGGGACTGACAGGTGGGAGAGAGAAGTGGCAAGACTAAGGATGGTGGGCAGTGGCCCTGATAGCTGGTTGGCGCTCAGATCCCTGCACGTGCACAGGAAAAGGGGATCAAGAGAAACGTACCATAAATGTTATGAGAATACTAGAATCTCACATACTGTTGAATTCATAATGTACTTCTCATATCCTACTATACTGCATGATCATTGCTGCCGGTTAGCTGTTAACTAACTAACTACCATCTCCAACTTCACCAAAATGTGATCCGAAAATTGTAACCCATCAATAAGAAAAATCAGGCAATCTTATTGGAGGTTGCCTTCGATTCCATACTCATCCTTTCCCACCATTTCATGCTGTACTTAAGGGGCCCTAAGCGCCATGACTCAACCAATCCCTTCTAAGTCAAGTTCTCTCAAACGACAGAGAATTTTTTAAAGCACGATGTGCGAAGACTGCAGAAGGCACGATATGTGGAAACTGGGAAGGCCGGAGTGGCCCAGATTACAGAAGCCAAGCGAGCCGAATCAGGAAACGAAGGAGTGTTGATACGGATGGGCATTACAATAAACATTCTTTGATTCTCAAGAGAGAAATCTGATGAAAGGAACGCATTTCAGCCTGCGTGCCTGCTAGGCTGGTTCATGCATGCAGCGTGCTTGCTCCCTTTCTCGCACTCACAGTTTCTTGAGGTCTGTGAGCTGGGTGACAATCGGAAAAAGATCGCCAGATAACTTGTTGGACCCGAGGACTCTGATTGGGGTTCGTTCATGGGGCAGTAGCATGCGACTCTGAATAAGACTGACTGGTGTTTGTGGTGGCAACTGCCGAAATGCGATGGTCAAGCTGGGCAGACAGGGCATGTTTGAAAATTCTCAAAAATCGCTCACAAGGACTCTGAATAAGACTGACTGGTGTTTACGGTGGCAAGTGCTTAAATGTGATGGTCAAGATGGACAGACAGGGCATGCATGCATGCATGGGCCAAGTTGATGGCATGGTGCCGTGCTGGTAAATCCCACACAAACAGACTCTCACCCTGTGGGGCAAGCTGGCATGCGATTCAAAGGCATTGCATGAAAAGCACGGCATGGCATGGTATGGCATGGCATGGCATGGGCATGCAGGGAACGGCATGCCTCACATATTCTGCAACTGCGTGAGACCAGTTATGGCAGCAGGAATGGAGCCCTCTAGAGAGTTGCCCGACAAATCACTGCAGGCGGGGAGGTGGGGGAGGGAGGGACCAGGCCATAGAGAACATGAAGAAGTGGGAAAATGAAGAGGCCTAGTAAAACAGGATCAAGGAAGGGTGGACAAGAGGGCAAGGAAGAAGAGGAGGCGGTGGGAAAGTTGGAAGGATGAGCGAACGGAAAAAAAGGGGAGTTTGAAGTAGGCTGAACATGGAGCTATATTGAGAAGTGGGTTACTCCCACTTGATTTTGAGTCGAATCAAAAGTCAACTGAACAGGGGCTAGATGGAGAAGTGGGTTACTTTCGCTGAGGAAGGATCTCCTTACATGGTGACTGCACCGCCAACTTTGGTAATGGTATCAGGAATAGATCCTGTGAGAGCATTCCTGGCCAGGTTGCTGGGATGGGCAAGGAAAGGGGGGTTTTGACAGGAAGGGGGGTTTCGAGGGAAACGGGTGTGGAAGGGAAGGGTGGGTGAGAAGGGAGTGACGGGAAAAAGGAGTAAGGAAGGCTGATGGCACGGCACATTCTAGAACGTCAAGATTGTTCAAGAGGCTCCAAGAGGCGGTGCAGAAGGAGAACAGAAGAAGTCAGAGCCCTCACAGGTACGTGAATGCAGTGTTCAGAGTGGTTGGAGTCGGTATAGTTTCTGTAAAGCCGCAATAATGTAGATCCCTGCGTGCACAGTCACATGCAGAGTCCCATCACATGCACATGCACATGCACGTCCACATGCACATGCACGTCCACATGCAGTCATGGAGGGTGGAGGAGAGGGGCGGGAAGGTGAGGAACGAGGGTGAGGAGAGAGAAATGGGGTACATAGCATGCATGCATGCGGATGCCTTGGCGTTGGTAGTTTGATGATGCAAACATGCAGACATGCACTTGCTGGAGAGTTTTCAGTCAGCGTTCGAGTGCTGACTGACCTTTGAGCTCCTCATCTCATACTGAGGGAGGGCCAATCATCACATAGAATACGGCCGGGATATTTCAACCCTAAACTCTGCCCGTACCGAAATCCGCATCGATAGAAAGGAACATATGAGAACAAGGGGGTTTGAACGGAGGGATATGAGGGGTAGTGGTAGTGGCTTGCTTACAGTGACTGGAGCTGCGGGAGATCAAGTAGGAATTGGGGAACGGAGCCAGTAAATGTGTTGGCACTGAGATCACTGTGATGAGGATGACAGATGGGCGAGCGAGAGGCAGAGAGAGAGGGACGAGTGACATAGAGGGAGAGGCAGAGGGAGAGAGGGAAAGAACTGTGACAACTGTGTTCCTTCCAACTGTGACAACGGAGGGGAGAGAACTGCTAGCCCTGCCTAGTACTTAAGCCAGGGAGCTATGCTCCCTGGCTCATTATTCTCAGCTTAGTTGTGTTCCTTCCAACTGTGACAACGGAGGGGAGAGAACTGCTAGCCCTGCCTAGTACTTAAGCCAGGGAGCTATGCTCCCTGGCTCATTATTCTCAGCTTAGTTGTGTTCCTTCCAACTGTGACAACGGCTCGCGCCGGCGGCCTTTGGCCGCGCGTTAGGGGATGGCATGCAGAAATAGGATGACAACATTAGTACATTGGTAGAAGTCATCAAGTGAGTAGGTAAAAATGACTGGATAACCAGCCATCAAGGGCCCTAGCGTGCCCCAAACACTTTGCTACCGCCACCGCGTGCGGCCTACACAAACTCAGTCACGCCCGCAAACTGAAGCACGCTGGCGACAACCTTATCCGCCAGCCGGAGCGCGGACACGCAGCCGTCTACAACAGCTACAGCTGATGCCGACTGCACCTTCATCCCCACCTCTTCGAGGACGCATGCCTCACCAGCGCCCAAGCCCAACTCCCCACCGGGCCCAACCAACGTCCGCTCCAGCTCGTGAACTAGGTCCCGCACGGCAAGCTGGCACCGTTCAGTCCGATCAGCATCCATCCTACAATGTGCAGCGGGACAGTCCTCCATCGCCCTCAGCGCAGCCTCAAGAACGTTCGTCACCACTTCAACAAACGCCCGCCCGTGCCACAATCGCACAAGCACCTCACTTGACAGCCGCAACGCGCGAGGAGGGGCACGGGTCCGCGCCCGAATCCGCTCCACGATCACGCGGGAGCTCAGGCGGACCCCAACGGACCGACGACGCGGAGGGCGGATGTCCCGAGGCATCGGCGCGGCGGACGACTCACCAGCATCAAGATCCATCCCCTCTGCTGCTCCCGCCACCGCAAGTGGAGCTGCAGCCACGGGGCCAGCAACTAGGGGCGGGTGATACGGAGCCCGCCCGGAGGCATACTCAAACCCGGGGAGTTGGGGGGCAGGAACCGGAGGCCCAGGAGGCGGCGCGGGATGCTGCGGGAGATGAGCTTCGTGGAGCGGCGGCAGGCCAGGAAGGAGAGCTGGAAGACCACCGTTATAGATGGGATGAAACTGGGCCTGTCCGCCGGGAGCAACCCCCCACACAGTCGGAGGTCCGGCGTGCGGAGGGAACGGAGCGCCAGGGGGAGGCGCAGGAGGAGGCGGCAGCTGCGGAGCAGGAGGCGGCGCAGCAGAGGACACGGGTGGCGCAGCCGGGGGATCCGGCGACAGATCGAGCGGAGGGGGTATCTGCAGCAGATGCACGGGCGGGGGAACGCGGCTCGGCGCCATCGCACCACGCACCGCATCGGGAAGCGCCGCTAGCGCCCGCTCAACAGCTTCAGCCGCAGCCGTCCCCGTGGCCATGGCAGCAGCGGCCGCCACAGGTGCAGGGTCAGCCGCCTGCTGATGGGGATGACGCGGGCGCCAGTAACGCCGGGACTGATTTCGACGCCCATGACTATTCGCTGGCTGAGATCGCTGGGGAGAGGCGGGACGGCGGGGAGACTGCTGGCGCGGAGATTGCTGGCGCGGAGACGACCGACGAGGGGACGCCTGCAGCGACGACGACGGCCGCGACGGAATGGGCGCGGTCACAGCAGACCGCTCGGAGGCACGAGCCACCTCCGGCCATAGCGCCGGGGACTGGGCGGGACGCCATGGCGACGGATTACGACGCTCCCCGTGCGCACGGGAGGGGGATCGCTCCCGGCCCCGCGAACGCGAGCCCGGCATCGCCAAGGCGGGCCGCCGATCAGCTGCAGTGGTGGTCTCCGCAACTGCAGCGCGCGAACCCGGCGCACACGAGGGGCCGGGCAAACAGCAACAGGGGGCGACGTGGGGGCGGTCGTGGTAGAGGAGGCCGCGCGAGCCCACAGACTAGAGGTGGCAGCTACGCACAAATTGCAAGGCGCTTACTCACCGATGGAAACCTACTAAATGGAGCCGAAGCGCCTAACGAGCAGAGGACGGAGGAGAGAGCAGACGGAGAGGAGAGGGAGAACGAGGAACTGAGGAATGAGCCTTTGGGAGACCAACCTTATACCCCCTCGAGGGAGGGTGTCCCCAGATCAGAAACCGAGGAGCCAGGCGAACAAGGGGTGGAGGAGGATGGCCCCCGAGGTGGGGGTCGACAGATTCGCCGAGGCGCATCTGAATTTTCCCCCCGAAATTCATCACGCGTGGCTACCAGACCTGCACCCCGAGCCAACCAGGTCAATCGAGTCCCGCCTGAAAGAACACCCCAACCACACTACTCACCGAAGCAGCTGGCTGACAACACTGCGAAATTTGCGGAAATTGCCACCTGGGATATCCAGGTGCTCCGCGACTCTCGCCAACCCCCATTGGCCCGCCATTTTCCAAGAATCATCAAAGATACGTTTGCCACCTGCCTCCTGACCCCCCTGCTGCGATTGGCCAAGGAACCTGACTCAATCCAAGCCTGGACCCTCCTCCTCTTCCTCCCGCGCTTTACACTTCGTGCCAGCTCAACCCGCAAACCTGAATGGGCCGCGATTTCTGCATGGCTGCTGCTTTTCCGCCAGGGGAAGTGGGGAGAACTCTACACTGCTGCCTGCGACGCGGTCAACCTCCACCTGCTCCTCGGCATGCACCTGATGATACAGGGAAACTGGCGAGGGCGACGGGGTTGGCGAAGAAGGGGAGCCTCGCCAAAGCCCTGCAGGCTCTGGAGAGCACACCCGTGAGCCCCTGCTCGCCTGAGATTCTCGAAGCACTGCAGCTACGCCACCCCGTGAGCACAGCGGACCCTCCCCCTTGGCTCGACGAGCACTCCATTCCCTCAGCTCCAGCAATTACGCTAAGGGACCTAAGGCAAATTCTCGGGACATGCAAAAACGGGGTGGGGGCAGGGCCCAGTGGAATGACGTTCGAGCATGTGAGGGATGCTGCACGTCGCCACCACGACGTGGCCGAGCACTTACTGGCCCTGGTCAACACGGCGCTTGCTGGCAAACTCTCCAACGAGGCTGCGATGCTGCTCACGGCCTCCAGACTGCTGGCATTTACAAAACCCGAGGGCGGAACCCGGCCCATAGCTGTGGGCGAGGTGATTCACCGTGTAATCGCAAAAGCGGCACTTCTACTCGCCGCACCGTTCGCCCGCCGCCATTTCGCCCCAATCCAGTACGGCGTTGCCACACCTGGCGGTGCGGAGGCAATCATCCACGCCACACGGACCCACCTGGAGGAAAACGCCGGCGATCTCGCCCTCCAGCTCGACATTTCGAACGCCTTCAATGCGGTGGAGAGGGGAGCTGTCTTCGAGGGCCTCCGAGACTCACCTTTGGAGTTCCTAGTCCCCTTCACGCGAAGCTCATATGGCGCGCCGTCAGATCTCATCATCGACGCAACATTCCACGCCAGCAACCTCTGCTCCTCGAGAGGAGTATGCCAGGGGGACCCCATGGGACCCCTCCTCTTCGCCGCTGCAATGCACCCAGCGCTACGGACAGTGGCCGCAGCTCACCCCAACGTCGTCGTCCTCGCCTATGCGGACGACATCACGCTACTCGGCCCTGGACCCGACTTCACCGCCGCCTTCAACGGCCTCACCGCGGCCCTTGCCCCACTCGGCCTCCACCACAACCCGGGCAAATGCCCGGCCTGGTCGCACACGCCATCCAACCTCCACCACCTACCGCCGGGAGTGCCATGGTCGCCCTCGGGCCTCAGGGTCCTGGGCAGCCCTGTGGGGCCGCCCGAGGACTGCGCCACGTTTCTCCGCACCAGAATGGCCGAGGCTGTGGAGCCATCGGCACTCCTCTCCCAGCTGGAGCCGCAAGTGTGCCTCCTACTCCTTACGCGCTGCATCAGCCGCCGCATCTCCTACATCCTCCGTACCACCCCCCCGAACTCCCTACCCCTCACCGATTGGGAGAACTGGGGGGAGGGAAACTTCCACACCCTCCTAACATCCGCCGCCATCCCCCTGCCACGCCACCGCCCCGAGCAGCTGCGGGCCTGGCGTCCGGCCTCCCTCCCGCCTACACTAGGAGGCCTCGGCATCGCCGACCCCGCCCTGGAGCGGTTCGCGAGCTACGTGGCCTCAACCGCGGCCGCCTTCCACCTCCTCTCCTCGTCTTCCACTCCCTCCCACCCCCAAGTGCTGAAAATCCTCCACCTCTTCTCCGCCGACAACACAAGCCACTCCCAACTCCCTGTCCGGTTGGCGGCTGCGGAGGAGACCCTGCCACAAGAGGCAATTGCAATTCTACAAAAAGTACGGGAGGGGGGGGAACTCATGAAACTTCAGCACGCTATCTCCCTCCGCGTCCATGCAACAAGGGCAGCAACGGCGGTGCAGGAGAGTAGGAGAATGGACCTGAACCCCCTCCTTGGCCATACTCAGCGGCTGCAGTCCCTCATGGGACCCGGAGCAGGGGACTGGCTCATGTCCCTACCTATCAACAGACCTCACTCCCTCCCTGCCCACCACTTCACTTCCATGGCTGCCTTCCGCCTTGGCATACCTCAGCTCGTCCCGGCCTTCTGCGACTGCAACGACCAAGTGGAGATACTTGACCCGCGCCTACCCAACCACCTACTTCGGTGCGGAACGGGGAAAGGACGAACGGGCACGCACCACACGCTGAGAGACGAGTGTGAGCGGATCGCGACAGAGGCAGGTTTCTCGGTCCAAAAGGAGACGACGCTATACACACCGGTGGAGGGCCTCAAAGCAGACCTCGCTATGCGCCACCCGGACTCAGGTGCCGTGTGGCTCATCGACGTAACAGTAACCGACCCCATTTCCCCCCAAGACGAGACAGCCAGGCGGGGAGTGGGTTGGGCCGCTAGGGTGGCGGCGAGAGCGAAGGAACACAAGTACCGCAACTGGTGGCCGTGGGTAGGGTTTATTGCAATGGCAGTGGAGACCTACGGGTGTTGCTCACCAGGAGTATTCGAGTTCATGCGCCTATGTGCAAACCTGGCGGCGAAACGCCTGCACAATGCCGAGCCGTCCTCTCGGGAGGCAACAAAACTGTTCCACTCGTACCGCCAAAGGTGGTCAATTGCCCTGCAGAAGGGCCAGGCGAACGCCCTCTGCGCCAAGACCCTGGCGGCCTTCGAGGCCGAGGCACCAACATCTGCCTACCAGGATGAGCCCCTTGACACGGGCGATCTCATGCATATCCTCAAGCCGGACTTTGAGCTGCCTTAGGTAGCTCCCTTGCATGCCTGTGCCTGGAATATATAAACTACGCTGTTGTATTGCATGTTACATCCAATGAAGGACCATCCGAGAGGGAAAGATGGAAGGAAAGAGGGATATTGTAATATACACAATACCAAACATAGGCGAGATTAGACATGAGCAACGAGCGAACCGAACACGTTTGTCTCGAACAGTTTGCGAACACTTGGTCAATTCGAACCGAACCGAACACGTTTGACTCGAACAGTTTTCTTAAATGTTAGTGTTCCCCGTTCGAGTATAGGGTCGAACAGTTTTGAGGCAAGGCCGAACACTAAGGTGTTTGACCCGAACTCGAACAGTTTGCCTTGGGGGGTTCTTTCAGTGTAGTCACATTCAGGCAGGGCCAGTGTACTAGAAGCAATATCACGTTCCCTATAGCCCTACAAGAGATATAGTTAGGCTTGACGCAGATCTGGTGGATATCCAATTTCGCCCTGCTAAACTCCAACCTAAACCGTAATGCCCTTAGTTCCTTGTTCCTTTTTTTAACCGTCTCCTACCCTAATCCAACCTAGGGATGAGCAATATGACGAACACCTGTTCGGTTCGCCTCGAACACGTTCGAGGCGAACCGAACAATATTTTTTTTTGGCCTAAATTGTTCGGGGCGAACGTGTTCGGTGTTCGCCCGAACACGTTCGCCGTTCGCCCGGCTCAGCTGGCCGAGGCGCGACGAACACGAACGTGTTCGTGATCGACACGGGCCTTCGACGAACGCCAATGTGTTCGTCGACGAATAGGCCCGCGACCAATTTTTAGGGCGCGGGCCTTGGTGTTTGGGCTCAGATCAAGGCCTTTTGCCGTTGCTTAAGTGCGGATCAAGGCTTTTTGCCGTTGCTTAAGTGGGGATCAAGGCATTTCGCCGTTGCTTAAGCTCAGATCTAGCATTTCGCCTTTGCTTAAGCGTAGATCTAGCATTTCGCCGTTGCTTAAGCGTAGATCTAGCATTTCGCCGTTGCTTAAGCGTAGATCTAGCATTCGCTGTTGCTTAAGTGCGGATCAAGCATTTCGCCGTTGCTTAAGCTCAGATCTAGCATTTCGCCGTTGCTTAAGCTCAGATCTAGCATTTCGCCGTTGCTTAAGCGTAGATCTAGCATTTCGCCGTTGCTTAAGCGTAGATCTAGCATTTCGCCGTTGCTTAAGCGTAGATCTAGCATGGGCGGTTCTAGCAGGGCGGGACTGGCTTGCGGGGTGGGGGGAGGGAATGTGAAACATTTGGATTTCACTCTACTTGGATCTGAGAAGGTCCTTTAAGGCGAACGCGAACATGTTCTGGGCGAACGTGTTCGTGTTCGCCAAAACGTACGAAATGTTCGCCTCTCTTGGCGAACTTCGAACACCCTTTCTGGTGTAAAGTGTTCGGCGAACCGAACAGTGTTCGGTTCGCTGAACAGCCATGTTCGAGCCCAGGCGAACACGAACATGTTCGTGTTCGCCATTTGCTCATCCCTAATCCAACCTTATACCTAACGTTTCCAGCCACAATGTGGAATTTTAACCATGGGAATGTGTT